ACAATTTTCCTCATGATATACTCCCTAATAAACTCCAAGCAACTGATAATTGGCTTATCACGACCCTTCACTATCTTGCTATTCAAACTCTCACACATATTATTCAACAAAGCATCACAATGTGCCCTCCCTAATAAAACACAACTGTATTAGATTATATTTAAAAATTATACACTTATAAACATAATATTATATACCTGAGAAGTGGGATCTGGACCAGTGCTTAGGTGGAATAGAATTAAGCCAGTCATATGCTTCACTGTTAAGTTTCTTTAGTTCTTCCATGGCACTGTTGAATTGTGGTATGGTGGTACATGTTGCACATTTCCAAAGACAATCCTTGAATTCCTTGCCCCTCCATTTACGTTTCATGTTCTCATGAAGATGCCTTAGGCAATATCTATGCTCTGCTGCTGGGAAAAGTTTCTCAAGTGCAGGCAATAACCCCTAAATCATCAAAAGAGTGAAGTTGCTTATTGAATTGTAAAACATGCATGTGAAAATGAATGGAGAACTTTATTTACCTTCTGTCTATCTGATATGAAAGTGAAGTTGGAGTTTGCATACAAACCAAGATCATCTCCTAAGTTAGTTAAAAACCAGGTCCATGAATTAAAGTTCTCTGCTTCAACAACTGCATATGCCAAAGGGTATGTGCAATTGTTCCCATCTAAACCCTGAATTATCATGTCAAACACAGTAATAAGCAAACAATTAACTATGGTCAAACATTAATCAAATACTAAAATATGATTATGCACATACCACTGCTGTCAGGATCATACCATGGTATGGACCCTTCATGAATGCACCATCAAGCCCTAGTAAATCTCTTTTCCCTGCTGCAAATCCACTTTTCAGTGGACCAAGACAAATGTATACTCGTTCAAATACCCTGGTCTCAGATGCATAACATGGTTCACTTTGCACTTGAAGTTTGACTGTGGTGTTTGGATTTCTACTCTGCACCTCCTGTAAGTAGTCTCTTAGACATGAGTACTGAGCAGCAAAATCTCCCCTAATTGATTCCAGGGCTTTCGTTTTCGCCCTATGAACTTTCATGTCTGACAATCCAAGTTGGTATTTCTTCTCAAGCATCTCACGTAATGCTCTAAGTGGTATTTCTGGGTTTGCCTCCACTGTGTCAACAATCTGTTCAGAGAGAAACTTGTAGTTACATGCCCTAATTTTCCTTGTTTGAAGGCACGTATGTTGCTTTTCATAGGTCTTAACAGTCCAGTTAATGTCTTTTTTCCACTTACTCACTAGTAGGACCCATGGGCATTTATGAATAGAACCATCTTTCACTTTCTTTTTCTTTTGACTTGGTCCCACTTTGTCATTACTTTTGCTGGTCCCACCTGTTTCTAATATCCCAAGGTTTGGTATTGTCCCTTTGCAAACCACTCTAATCCTATTTTTGTCATTCTTGACGAAGTCTAACTCCCTTCTACTCTGTATGGAATGAAGATAAATTTGTTGTTTAACTTCCTTGGCTGTGCTAAAAGTCTGGTGGATGTAAAATGGATCTTTGACAGCAGCTGCTTCATTCTTATGTGCTCTTCGTAAATCTCTTATCTTCTTCCTTTTTTTACTAGCTTCACCCTCATCTGATGAAGATGCAGATACAAATTCTTCAGTGTTTATAACCTCTAATTCTTCATCACCTTCTACTGCTTCATCTCGATCATCAGGAAAACTTCCAACCCACTCCACCTCTTTGTCAATGTTGAGGTGAAAGTTCTTCATATCAACCTCTGGATCATCTAACAAATTATCTTCATCAACTATGTAATCACTATCTTGACTGTATTCACTATCTTCAGTGTCATCACTATCATGACTGTCTTTACTAGCTTGACTGTCTTCACCTGCTTTTTCACTATTTGGTTCATCTTGTTCCATAGGAGTCCCACCAAAAGGTTCACACCATTCAAATGTATCATCCCAACCATCAACATTAGGACATGTGCTTCCTATCATTGGTTCAGTCAAAGGGCTTTCAATTCTTGGTATATAGGCAGGGGTTGACTCAACTGTTTCACTCAATGTAACAAGGGGTTGTTCCAAGGTTGTTTCAAGTAATGTACTAGGGGGTTCGTCCATAGTTTCTACATTCTCAAAAACAGGGGCTTCTTCACTAGGACAATCCCCTGAATTTGACCATGTCAATAACAAGCTTTTACGACAAAGGGACTCAGGAATTTCGTGTATCTTTATCTTTGCAGGGTTTGGGGACATTTGATACGTATGCAGCTTGGTTTCCCAAAACTCTGTATACACTTCTATCACCTTGTGTTCATACACGTATGACCTAAAGTGGTTTATATCTTCGTCACAACCCAAAGCATACAACCCAAAATCTAAATCCCAGGTTGGTCGTTTGAAATGATAATAAATACTTTTACCTGGTTCCACACAATCAAGCAATTCCATTATCTCGTCCATATCATGCACCGAGAACAAGTCACTATCAATGCCATCAATATATTTCATCTTCCCCTTTATGTATTTGCGGCCTGGAAACTTCGTAAAAACTCCACCATAGTTCAATCGTATCGAGAACATACATGGATTGTCAGCTGCGAACCCAAAAAAAAATTACATTTTAGGAACGTATAATGGATGATCAACTGAAAATGTAGAAAATTTTACCGTATGAGCTTTAGAGATCGTATTCCTCCCATTCTTGCCTAATCCTCCAGTTCACCATCGTAGAAAACTAGGGTTTTCTCGTGCAACGCTAAGGGTCGATGGAGGATGAAATGAGAAATGATCGGTTATCGAAGTCGCGCCATACTGGTTCATGTATACAAACCCTGAAAAGACGAAAATGCCCCTGCGTGCAAGGCACGTGGGTAGCTTAAACGGAAGAATTTAACAGTTAACGTGCATAGGGACTAATCGTGCAAGATAAATAACAACGAGGGACTGCACGAGTTAAATTTTGGAAATAGGGACTAAACATGCTTTCTGGCATGTGCACGAGGGACCAACGGTGTAATTTACCCTAACTCTTATCATGGTCTCGTTATAATAACTTTAAAGTTTATTGGTTTGATACCAAATTTATTCAATGGAAAATAAAACGATACACATTTTTTGGATTGAATTCCAAAAAATAGGCACAAAAAATCAGGTTTTCGGAAATAGACATAGATTCCGTAGATGTGAGCTTTGAGGGCTCCGTTGAATCCACTATAGATCTGATGAATGGCAAAATTGTAATTAAATCAGTGGTATTAACGCCAAAAAAAAAAAGTTGATGAATAGTTCCGCAAAGGTGTCTCTACCGACGTCGTTAGCAGCTCCGCGGAACTATTATTCGAGATTTTTTTTCATAACTACCCAAATTAATATTGAATATTTATAATGAGATATCTTATTGAGATCGTATGATTATCATTTCTTTTGGTCCCAATACGTCAATATATCTTTTTTTTTCTTTGTAATAATTATAAAACGGATTGGTATAATGAAAAGGTTTGTCGCTGATTGATATCAGAGGATTATAATAAGATTATTCCTTATGCTGGTATAATGAGGAGGATTATAATAATTATAACTCATATCATTAATCAGGGGTATTTATGAAAAAAGAATTGTTCAAAGAAGCTGCTAACAAGGTCCGACACCTCTACGGAACTGTTCATTGAGTTTTTTTTTTTTTTGTTAATACCCTTGATTCAATTACGATTTTGTCATTCCGTAGAACTAAGATTCCACAGCACCTCCACGGAACTGTTCATTGAGTTTTTTTTTTTTTTTTTTTTTTTTTTTTGTTAGGGTTGATACATGATTCAATTACGATTTTATCATTCTTTAGAACTAAGATTCCACAGAGCCAGCCCTTGGAGATCACTTCCACAAAATGTATATCTATATCCGGAAATGCGATTTTTTATGCCTAGTTTTTAAAATCCAAGCCCAAAAAGTATGTACGGCCGGTATTTTTCCTTTATTTTATTCAAATATAAAGCTAAATTAATCAATTTTATTTATTACTTGGGCTATCTTGCTTCATCAATAATTTGCGGCATCTGGACAGCCACATCCCCAGAATACTTTGCTGGTAAAGTTGGTCCATCCACCATGAGCTGCATTCTCCTTTTTCTGACTTTTTTTTTTCTTTTTTTTTATTTATATTTTCTAAATTGCCAGCTAAAACTTGAGAGCGAAATAATGATTATAAATTTAATAAAAAATATTAAGCACCGTAATTCATGAAAAGTCCCACTAACATGATAAATCAAATTGACAATATTACCCTCAACTTTTTTTTTTCTTTTATCAAATTTCACATACCATACCCCACACCCCCAACCCAACCCTTCCTTTTTTCCCACCGGAAAAACGTGACGTAAGCACCCTATCTTTCGCTACTTTTTCTGTTCGTAAGCTCCGCCCCATATTTTTACAACGGAGATGCGAAAACGAGATGAATTGATTATCCGGATGATGTCGTTTTGTCTCTCTCCAGACTCCGCGTCATACCTTGAGAATTTTCGCCGCTCTAACAACTGGATTTTCGCGAGCGATAGCCTCACGTCCGGCGGCTTTGTAGTCGTAGTTACAGTCATGTCGATCGGAGTATCGGTGCTCGGAACAAAACATCTCGCCACAGCGGCACCTAAACCCCATCAGTCCAACCTTCCTCTTGCAACCTGAGCACCTGTTCACCTCCCGCTTCTTAAACATGTTACAGACGCTCTTATCGAACGGATCCACCACCTCCAATCGTCGTTTTTGAGGCAGATCCAACTTTTCCGGCGAGGCAGCGGAGTTCGGTCTGATGTCAACGATAACACCGCTCTTCGGATCCGATCTATCCGGCGACGATCTACGGTCATCTGAAGCGGACATCTTTGAAGAGGCGGCGGGGATCGGCGGTGTGCACAAGGTCAAGGTTTCAGGAACTTTGAGCTCGGTCTCCTCCATCTCTCTCTTCTGAGCCATACCTTTTTGGGATGAGAGAGAGAGAGAGAAAGAGAGAGAGAGAGGGGGGAGAGAAAGAGAACGTGTGTGAAGGGAAAGAGATTGCGGTTTTAGAAAGAGAAAGAGGTTGGGGATGGGATGGGAATAACTTTAAAGGTCTGAAAGTGGTGATGGTCGAAATGACGGTAATACCCTTCTGAGTAGTATAATCACTTCTGACAACTTGCATTCACAAGTCACAACTGAAAAAGAAAGAATACCCTGCCAAGCAAATTATACTCCTATTAATATTATAGATTTGTTAAATACAAATTCTTCTTTCAACACCTAACTAATACATTTCAATTTCTATTTCTAAAGTTACATTTTTTACTTAAGTCAGACTTTAACCTGTAGAGGATGCATGTCCAATAACTTTTAATAATTTAATAATTATTAAAAAAACTCTTTTATAATTTGGTGACCATAACGGGAGTCCCTCTTATCAAACAACCATATTTCTCAAAAATATCATAAAATTAAATGCAATTCGTGCCGTGATATTACTTTTTAAAGCTTTTGCTGAAAAACAACGATTACATTACATGGATATGGATGGTTTGTGAGATCCATTAATTTTATGAACTACTTTTGCCACATATATTTCTAGAAGATAAACACTACTTTTCGCAAATAGCTCTCTTGGGCTGAGTTAATTATTTCATTAACTTTTTATTTTTCTTGGCTAATTTTTCATAGTCCATGGAATTGTTGAACATTAGGTGAGAAACTTTAAAAGCAAGTGAACATTAGGCCTTTTTTGCATCAAAGAACAATTTGCAATGAAAGTCAACTGAAGATATCCATGGTTGGAACCCTTGTACACCAAAAATATTACTACTGCTCTAAGATTTAAAGAAAAAACTTGTAACAGTTAAATAGAAAGTGGAAGAGTTTATTTAGTAGTCCATAAAACTTGTAGAAGTGGTTGAATTTGACAATATTATGACACTAGTTCATATAGTTCTTATAATTGACAGATAATGGCTGGTCTAGTGGATCAGTATCTTCTGGCTTGGAATAGTCTAGCTCTAAAAATGGTGACACAATGCCTGATTATTTTGGTAGACGTGTGCAGAATGTGCTCACACTATTGAAAGACATTGGCTATCGTTAATTGATTAAACTAGTGGAACGAATGATGTCCTTTACACACTATACACTACCACAGTATACTCAAACTCCCTTCATCATGCTTTGTTTTAGTTTGTATAGCAAAATGTATGGAAATGATATAAATGAACTCTTGTTATCACTATACAATGACTGAACTCTTGTTGTGGAGTATTATAACTATTTTATATATGCATCCAGGGAGATAGGAGGCATATATGGTTGGCTGAATGCTGATCTCTGCTTTCTTGGACTACTAGCTCTAAATGTAACTTCAATGTATTTCTTGAATTTTTATCAAATTGTGAATGCTTCTTTTAAAATTACGACATTAGCAGATGTTAGTCAAGCTTCAAAAGTTTCCTCGATATAGTGTTTTCTTAATATACTATACTCGGCTACTCGCTCCATGTTCACTTGAAATGTCAATAATTCTATAAATTGGTGGATTTTTTAAAGTACAATAAGCTAATGAAAAATTGAAATCACAAAGTTTTGACCTGTGATAGAAAAAACTGAAAATAAGATGTCATAATAACCGTATAAACTTATGAATGAAAGTGTTCTGCTATTTATTGTATTCACCAATCCTCAAAAAGTTTTTTTTTGATTCCATTGATGCAATTCAGATGAAACATTTGCCAATAATATAGAAAATGATCAAATGTTTCGTTGCTATTTCGAGGGGTGTGAATGACATCTTCTGCAATTTTCAGGGGGCAAAAAGTAAATTTCAGATGATATTAATTTGGTTTGTCCACACGGCTCGCGTAACCTGTACAGGTGGACTAAAGAAATTAATGGTGTATATATGCAGACTACTATGAGCGAGCCCTAACTAATGTTGTTCTGAGCATTCAAAGGGGAAAGAATCTAGAGTTATGATTTACATGTTTCCATTAGCTCCTGGAGCATCTAAAGCTACTGGATTCCATAAATGGGGATCACCCTTTAATGATTTATGGTGTTGTTATGGAACAGGTTTGAATTTCTACTTTATCCGGATTTAGATGGGGTAACAAAAGAGAAAAATTTACGACTTTGATAGATTATCTCAAATGGTTTCTTTAGGGATTGAGTCATTTTCGAAAATGGGCGATTCAATATACTTTGAAGAAGTGGCATCATCATCTGGTACATATCAAGCTCACTTGAAATCAAGGCGGCTTTTTCTTGCACAGAAAGTTGAGCGTGTTGTTGTGTTGTGTCATGGGATCCTCACTTTCGAGTCATAGTGACCATTTCCTCAAAGAAGGTAGACATAACATCACATTTCTTTGTAAAGTACATTATTATTTTTTTATCATTTTATCTATAGAATACCGTATTGGACAACTTCAAATTCAAAATCAACACTTAGGGGTGTTTGATAAGAAAAAAATAAGCTACTTATTGCTTATTGTTTAATCCCACCGTAATAAGCAAATTTAAGTGTTTTGATAGAACTCTTTAAAAATCAGTTTATTGTGGTAGGAATAAGCAAAATAAACTGATTTTAAAAAGCAAGGGGGGAATGCTTATTGCTTATTAGTCATTTTACTCATATAAGTTGTTTTGTTTGCGAAACACGTAAAATACTTATTGCTTATTGCTTATTCCCACCGCAATAAATTGATTCAAACACATTTTAAAAAATGCTTATTCTCACCGTAATAAACTAATAAGCTAAAAACTATTTATCCAAACACCCCCTTAATGACTGATTGGCTGGGCTATTCCTATAACGACTCCAGATATGATTTTTTAAATCAAAAACCTAAAATAAAAAGAACTCTTTACCATTCTTTGTTGATACAGACACTTTCTTATCGGTTTCAAAACAATAGAGCTCAAATGACAAAATTAACCTTGATCTCCCGATAACTCGTAGGATGGAAACAACTCAAGTTTCAGGGTACCATTATTTACAATCTCATTTGATAAAATATGTTTCTATTGGCACACATTTGATAATTCAATAAAAATACATGGTGTTTGGGAATGCTTTTTAACCTAAAAAGTTCTTTTCAATAAAAGGACTTTTTGTCTTATAGCTTTTTTGTAAAAGAAGGTTTTAAAAGGTGTTTGGATTATCTTTTGAATAAGCAAAGGCTAAAAAGACAAAAGTTACAAAAATTCACAATTTCTACCTTTTAAAATAGCTCATTTTTCTTCTTGTCAAAAAGTCATTCTAAAAGTACTTTTTGATTTGGCAAACACCTTTTCTGTCACACCCCAAAACCGGAACGACGAATTTTTGGCCTCCTTCAAGTCTTGGGCCCCCACAGCTAACCCATTGGCCCAGTTCGAGTTCAATCAGCTTCTAGCCCATTTTTCTTCAATATTTCTTCAATTTGAGCCCAATTTGTCTCTCCACATCACTCAAAGCTTCCGCAAACTCCTAAACATCGATCTTGCACACTCAAGAATTCTCTCGTGCCTTTTAAATTAAAGTCCAACACTTTTACGACTCCAAGCAATTGACAAGCCCACTCCATGAATCACCTTCATAGCCATCAAGCATAAAATCCCCATTGCCCTTCAAGTCCAATCACCTCCCAAAAATCCCGCTCCGCTAGTCTCCAAAAACATCTGCAAAAACGCTCAAGAAACTAGAAAGTACCCGAAATGGTCATAAAAATAACAAAAAGGAAAATATGCATAGAAATTAACTAAAATGCGAATGAAATGTGCTCAAAAAACTCTAAAAGAAGTAAATAAAATGAAGTTATCAAGTATCCTCTGTTATAGTATTTGTATATGATAGTATTCTCCTAAACTATACCTATTATAGTTTACTAGTGATTTCTGTAATTGAATAGATGACTGAATGTATACCTTTGCTACCCAAAGGTACTGAACTGATTGATAGTACTTTTATATCTACATATGTATACATAATATATATCTAATATTTAGACGACCTTTAGACAAATAACTGATACCCCAAGTCCACATCCAAACAAGGAAAAGGAAATAAAGCGAGTTAGCAGTCCTAAGTCCTTTAAACATTATTTATATAACTATACATATATAGACATGCTTTTGACAGTATATAAGTTTAAAAGAGGTTTTCTAATACATTTAAAGAGTTTTGAACAATAAATAATGATGACTTGATGTCAGTTTATAAAACGATTTAAAAGTAGTTTGTTTGATAACACAGTTTAAAGTCAATAAAATCCTTTGTTTGAAACACAATTTAAAGTATATAAAACCCTTTGTTTGAAACACAGTTATAAATTAATGAAATCCTTTGTTTGAAACACGGTTTGAAGTATATGAAATCCTTTGTTTGAAACACAGTTACAAATCACATGTGATTGATTATATAACTAGCATGTTTTCTACTTGTATCCCCCCATAAAAGCATTTAAAATCATTTAAAAGATAAGTTAATGGGTATGAACTCACCTGTAGTGAGTGATACATAAGTATGTTTGGAAAAGGATGTAGAGTGTCAGGTGAAACCTTAAGCACACAAAGATCCTAATAAACATATAATGACATGTTTGTGTACTTGATTAGTGTATAAACAACTAATTATAAGGGATAACACCCTAATAGACTAGGAAACTCTAATATTTATGGGGTACAATCACATATGATTGCACACTTAGGGTGTATGGCAACCCTAAAGAGTTTACAGTCCAAATGGCATGACCAAATGAGTTTGTGGTCCAATGGGTTCACGGTCTAATGACCTTACGGTCATGGAGTTCACGGTCTAAGGAGGTTCAACCGCAAACTTATCAAATCATTCACAAATGATGGTTTTCAAGGGCTTCATTCAAAGGCATCGGATTCTAGGGACCATGCTTAGCCTTAGGAAGGGTTTAAGGTCTCTAATGCACCTTTCATTAGGGTTTACGGTCTAAGGAGATACACTTAGACCGTAAACACCTTTGTTCTTGGATAAATGATGATTTCAAGTCCATAAATAAGAATCCTAACTAGATACAAGTATAGAAGATAGATACTTACAATTTGGAAGCAAGGAATGGTGTTTTTGGTCCAAAACACAACCGTGTTCTTGAGAAACTTTGATGATCTAGATAAAAGATGAAATCCTTAAATGAATCAAGAGTGAAACACGGATTTAGGAAGGATCTAACACACAATGAAGGAATCACTTACTTGTTTGAAGATTTGGAAGCAAAAATCTTATGATACTTGAGAGAGTTTTCGATATTTTTTGGCTTGTAAAGGAAAGAAATGATCAAGATGATCATTAACTACACATATAAAGGGAGTTTTCGGTTACCATGACCTTAAGCTCTTAGTTTCCTGACCATAATGAGGAGGTTTACGGTTTGCTAAATGGTTTGGAACTTAAACTAACACTTCCAAATACCGATTCCTTTGATGTACTTGTCTCAGAATACCCAGAATAGACCCTAAACAGTGTTAAAAGATATTAACACGAGTCTAACTTGGATAGATTTGAACGTTTATACAAGCTAGAAATTTCAGATGTCACATCATCCCCCCGTTAAAGAGAATTTCGTCCTGAAATTAGAGTTTAAGCAACTAAGTTATTACAAATAACTAAGTAAAAAGATGAGGATATTTCGGTTTCATTTGATCCTCACACTCCCAAGTGAATTCAGGTCCTCGCTTGGCATTCCAGCGAACCTTCACTATCGGGATACGACTTTGCTTCGTTTTCTTGACCTCTCGGTCCATGATCTCTACTAGTTCCTCCACAAAGTTGAGGCTCTCGTTGATCTCGATCTCGTCGAGTGGGATTACAAGAGTCTCGTCGGATGGACACTTTGTCAAGTTCAAGACGTGGAAAGTAGAATGTACGTTACTGAGTTCGCGGGGTAGATTGATTTTGTAAGCTACAGGGTTGATTCTAGCGAGAATCTCGAAAGGCCCTATGTATCTTAGATTGAGCTTCCTACGCTTTCCGAAGCGTATCAAGCCCTTCCAGGGTGAGACTTTCAAAAGAACGCGGTCTCCCACCTAGAATTCCAAATGCTTCTTTCGTTTGTCCGTAGCTTTTCTATCGGTCTCTAGAGGCTTTCAACCGTTCACGAATCTGAACGATATTCTCTGTCGTTTCCCGAATGATCTCCGGACCTGTGAGAGTGCTGTCAGGAACTCGTCCTTTAGCTAACTGAGTGTCACCCACCTCAGCCCAGCACAGAGGGGATCTGCACTTCCGGCCATAGAGGGCTTCAAATGGAGCAACCTTTATGCTCGCGTGATAATTGTTGTTGTAGGAAAATTCGACAAGGGGTAAATGAGTATCCCATGCCTTCCCAAAGTCGATCACATAGGCTCGTAACATATCTTCTAAGGTTTGTATCGCTCTCTCACTTTGCCCGTCGGTTTGTAGATGGTAAGTTGTACTCATGTCCAGCCTAGTTCCTAGGAAACATTGTAGCGACTGCCAAAACCTCAAAGTGAATCTACTATCTCTATCATAGAAAATAGATATAGGAACACCATACATTTGTACGATCTCTCGTATGTATGTTCTCGTGAGTTTCTTCATCTTGTCAGTCTCTTTGATTGGTAGGAAATGCGTGGATTTGTTCAATCTATCGACGATGACCCAAATGGTATCAAGTCCACCCGTTGTCTTGGGCAACTTGGTTATGAAGTCCATAATAATTCGCTCCCATTTCCAATCCGGTATCTCCGGTTTTCGTATTAATTATGAGGGTTTCTGGTACTCGACCTTAACCTTTGCGCAAGTAAGACATTTACTCACGAAGATAGCAAGATATGCTTTCATGTTAGGCCACCAGTATAGTTTCTTAATATCTTGATACATCTTATCTGAACCTGGGTGGACGGAATATCTAGTGATGTGTGCTTCAGTCATGACCAAGTCTCGGAGTCCACCGTGTTTCGGTGTCCAAATACGATCCATGAGATATAAGGCTCCGCCACCCTTAACTTCTAAGTTCTTATCCATCCCTCTCTGGGATTCACTCGCCACAATTTCAGGTTTCAAGGCTTCTAGTTGAGCCTCCTTAATTTTTGTGAACAAGTGTGAATGGATAGTCATAGTCAAAGTTTTGACCCTCTGATCAGATTATTATTTCCGACTCAGGTGTCAGCTACTACATTGGGTTTGTCGGGGTGATAACGAATTTCGCATTCGTAGTCATTGAGTAGCTCGACCCACCGTCGTTGTATCATGTCGAGCTCCTTCTGATCGAATATGTGTTGAAGGCACTTGTGGACTGTAAGGATAGTACTCTTTGTACCATACATGTAGTGTCTCCAGATCTTTAGACCACTGCTCCTAACTCAAGTTCGTGTGTTGTATAGTTGACTTCGTATGTCT